TGAGGTATAGGGCCCATGATCTAGTGGGAGATAGTTCATCCCTGTTTACAGAACAGACTTTTATTTTTTCTTTTCTTCACTCACAGTAACATTCTCTTTGTGCCCATGCCTTGTGACTGCTGCCTTTCTGGAAAGTGAGCTATATTACTCAAGCTCTTGAATAAGGCCTCAACATGAATTAATAAAGCCTACCGTGGACTTCTATAAATTAGTAAAGCAGAAAGAATTTGAGTGGTTGAAATGCTGGGCAAACTTTGGCACAAATAGTTCTAGTTTTACAGCTCATTCCAATAAAGCAACCTGCTAAAAACAGCAATGAAGGAGGAAGTCTTGGCCTCAGTGCCTACAAGAATTGAACCAACTCATTAAGGAATGCTGGCTTCTCCTTTCCCCAGATTATGCTGGAGTTTAGTGAAACAGATTAAAGTGAGCATCCCCAAGTCACAGCAAGTGGCAGAGACTAGTGGGAGAAGATGTGCCTTGTCAGTCAACAGGGTTAGAAGATGGTAGTTCAGGTACTGACAGGCTATGAGGATAAGGAGGATGACGTACTGCCAGATTCAGTGGTGTATTCTGAGTACATACGAGAAGAGTACTTATGTACATCGTTAAGTTAAATATCAAAGAGCATGTGTGGTTTCTTGAAGCATTTGAAGTCCGTCCGTTCCGCCCCCCTCCCCCCCCCCAAAAAACCCAACCCAGGTAGAAACAGTAAGAATAAATTGTCAGTAAGTCATGGTAATTGAAGAGTCAAAGGTCTCAGTTTAGGAAAGTGGAGCTAAAAGTAAACAAGATGGCAACCGCTGAATTCTGCAAACATTAAAGTGAAAAGAAATCAAGCCATTTAGATTAGTGAAGAAAGATAATTAACACTGCACAGCCTTAATGTTTTTAGGTCATCTTAAATACTGCCTGCATCAAATTCTATTTAGTTGACAAAACTGCAAATAGGATCCTGACAGTGTGAGTAGTGTGATGGATTAAACTGTTGCCTCAGTCCTAGCAAGAACCATTTTCCAATATATTGCTATTCACATATATTTATCTATAGCCAAGAAAACTTTTAGTATGATTTTTTTATTTACATACACACACACAAATATACTGGAATTAATAAAAACTTCTGAAAATTCAGGACAAAGGTGAGTTTCCATGAGCAGTTCCTCTCCAAGGCTAACGCACTAGTTAACTGTCAGTCTCCTTGAAGTTTCTTTCAACCTAACAAGTGCCATCCCAGTCAAGTAGCCACGTGTCCCCGTCTTTTGAGAAAAAAACAGGACAAAAATTAAGGTGATTAATAAAACTTATGTGCCAAAACAGAATCACTTCCATTTTAATCACCCTTCAAAACCAAAACTTATTCTCAAACTGCACAAGAACTAATGAATACTCAACTACTTTTTGGGTTTGCACAGTAAGTTCTGATTCACACTACATAGAGCCCAGTAGTGACTTTGCAAGGGCGAGAAGAAGGGGCCTGTTAGTGAGAAGACAACTGCTAAGACTGTTTTTCAGAATTTCCTAGTTTTACCTATGATCCTATGTCATGCTTTCCTCTATCAACCCCCACCCCAGCATGCTTTAAAAAAAAATACAAAACAAAAAAAACACCACCAAAAAACCAAACACAAACCAAAACCAACCACCAAAACCAACGTCAACACAAGTTTCAGGAGCAGCTGCCTGCTAGAGAATTCCAAAACCAGGCTTGTTAGTGAAACTGGCATTTGTATTTAAAATGGGAAGCAGGACCAGTTAGCACAGCATTTCTTATGAGAACAGATAACATGACTGTACCGAGTGATGGATTAAACAAATTTGATCCTAGTTCCTCAAAAAAGAGAACCCTAATGGAAAGTGGCATGGACATAGAACATTAAATATAGGGTTCCAAAAGCAAGATTACTGGTGCAACAGTAAATGGATCCATGATCTTTGTAGTTCTACTTCTCCCAGTTCTCTCCATCAGTAAAAACCACTATGCAAACAGAGACATACTTGTCTGTGGTTAGAAACTTTTCTAAGAAGTGGCTACTAAAAAGCTACTCCAAACAACCCTCAGACACCTACTCCATAAACTTGTCCAAGTTCCACAGTATGCATTTAAAAAAGGGGAATCTTCATAGCTGCCACAATAAACACGCAGCTGAAATTCTAGTAAAAATTGTGGCCTCAGTTAAAATAGATAATTCTGACTGAATTCCCAAAACCGAAGCATGTCTTTTCTTACAAGCACAGAACTACTCTAAATGCTGGAGAGTCCTTAAATAGCTACATGGTCAGATCCTTCTCTGATAACCAAGGGAGACAGCTAACCTTTGAGAAAACTCCAGATGAGGAGGGAATTAATATACTTCAAACCAGGCAACTCATGCAAATGGTTACAAAGAAAAGCTTTTGCAGGAGAGGAAGAAGGAAAGAACCACCATTCAAACAAAAAATAGTGAGAAGTATAGTAGGGTTCCATCTAAATCTCAGGGTTTAAGATAGGAGGGGAGAGAGATGCCTCTCCCTATGTATTTACATAATCATGGCTCAGATAATTTGTGCTTTTATGTTGATGTAATGCAAGGCTAAGAGAAACCAAGTTACAGATAAGAAAGTACACTGAGAAATGCTAGATAACATTTCGTATTTCTTTTTCCAAAAGTAATGGAACATAATTAGCCATTAGTGAGAAGAATACTTCCTACAGCCAGTAGTATCTTTCTCAATGAAGAGGGATCAGTGTATTCCCCAAATAAATGCTGCACATCAGCCAACCCAGAGATATGTAGTAACTCCCAACCATGGTTCTGTATTCCCAGAAGCTGTTCGTGTTGCAACAGTACTTTTGCTTTAAATGCCTGAGAAATGCATTCCCCTACATCATTTATTGATCACTAGAGAAGGGAAAAAAAAGTAAATGTAAGTTTAAAGTCTTATAGTAATTCTTCCTTCATCCCCAAGATATTTCTTTAGGCTAGCAACTTCAAATTGATTATATAAAGCCTTAGATAAGCATTAAAACAAAACACATTTTTCATTCAGAAGTTTTGCTACAGGCTGTTGTTCAACTGACAAAATACACTAGGGAGCGTAAAAAATATTTATTCAACCTAATTCAACATAACTATAATTTGCAATACTTAAAAACAAGATTTACAAACAGAGTAATGACCTTCTGCTACTCAGATGAAATACTTTTATAATCCATATAGTGTTTTTATAATTGTATTTTTACAATAGCTTTAACTTCCAGAGGAGACAATGAGCTTTCCCATGGAACAAGTTTCAAACCCACTAATCTGCATCATTCAATTCTTCATGAGACTTTAAAAAACAGTAATAAATTGGTTGGAAATATATACAGTGAAGACCACTGAAAAGCTGTTTTCTCGAAATGAGGAATTCTGTAAGAAATACACATTATATTGTTTCAAGACTATCTTACAGAAAGCAGCAACTTTCAGAGGTTGCTACTCTGTATTTAGAATTTTATATAAAAGTGAGCCCACTAAGACAAATATAATCTGCACTTACAAGATTATAGTAATTCTTCAGTTACAGCAAGAACCTCAAAAGTATTTGATATCAATCAAATGTATAATTTTCAATACCTGTATAGTTTTTGAACACTAGTTGGTCTTTATATACACTTTTGTACAGTTCTAAAATATTACATCTCAGTAATTAAGATAAACATACTATAGAAAAGGTACCATATTTTGAATTTCTCTAACATACATTATTGCAGTCAAGTATGAAGTCCATTCTGCATTTACTTCATTTGTGGTGAAAAGAAATATTTACTTATGAATACTTCCACTAAAAGATTTTTTTTAAACCTTTCTTCATGCATTTGACATACTAATAGGAACAAGGAAAAAAAAAACTGAGAAAAACAAACTTGTTAGGAAAAAACTTCAAGTACTAAATCTAGGTTAGGTCTGGTATGAATATTAAATGGCCGTATTATGTTTGTCAAAATTGAACTTCACAAAACAGTTAATTTCTGTGGAAATTAAGTTTATAAATACATCAAATAACTGAAGTGCTAATGTCTCCCTCAGCTGGCTCCTTTGAACATACTGTAAGAGTAAAGCTTACTGTATACATAAACTTAGTTTCTTACACATTTAAGATTTGTCCTTTACAGGATGGAGCCAAGTTGTCTTAAGAGCACCCAGCCTGCTGGTACATACCATGCTCAGACTCGGTGCCCAAAGTGTAGTGTCTCCCCCTTCCAGCCGATCCTTCCACCATCTGTCCTGCCACTAGAACTTGTATGGGCAGAAGAGAGCCTACTCCTGCCACAGAGCCGAGTTATGCACCCAGGTCTGAAAGTTTAGAAGGATGCCCTAATCTGTCAGTTTAAATGTAGCTTTAGTATCCAGTGTCATTTTCTCACACTTCTACTGCTCTCTGTACTTGCACGGATATTTATATGATCAAAAGGAACATGAAGACTAAACAAATGCTCTAATACTTAACTACAGAATAAGCAACTGAAATTTACTTCCCCCCATGTAATTATTTTACTCCAGAGGGGAAAAAATGCTATCCAGCACCAGTTACGAAGCAGTAAAAAGAGCCATGAGAAGATAACACTAGGCACTGCAGAAGATACAACAGGACATTAAAAATTATCGATAATAAAATAGTCACCTGGAAGCCATGCTATTTCCACACCTAGTGCTTAGGTGGCTAAAGCTGACACACAAGTCCTGTAGCAAGTGATCTATCTTCTGCTTTCTCTGACCAGTCATTTGAGTATTTTACACTCCCTGTTTGATACCAGCAAAAACCAAGGAAATCTTTATTGACTGATGTCCCACAATTACTTTTCCTTGGTAATGACTCACATTACCCTTCTAAAAAAAATTCCCTTCATTGTGTGAAATGCTGAACTGGATGATAGCATGGGTATAAAAACACATATAGAAAAGGCATTTGGATATAGCCTACATTAACTACACAATTTAAAACGTTCTTGTTCTGTAGTTGATGCTTTTTTTTTTCCATTCAGCATATTGGCTCAAAGAAAATAATTCACAAGCCTGTTGCCCAACAGAAATACCCAAAAATCATGGAAGCCAAGTCACATTCTTACGTTCAGTGGTTGCTGAAAGGATTTACCCTGCCACAAGACAGTGCTTTATTATATTTATAGAAAAAAAAATAATAGGAGCAGCAACTTATCACAATTCTCCACTACTGTGCAATAATGATGGAACCAATACAACATGGAAACCTGTTAGGTGAGACTGTATGACATCTGGAGATCACAGCCTTATGCTCCTTCTTGCTCAGGATAATTTAAAATTTTGCGGTGAGCTTGGCGCAAATATTGCTGCTGTTTGAAGTAAACTTTAAAAGCTCCTTTTATAGCAACAAAAGCAATTCCACCCTGAAATAAAAAGATATTTTGAAAACCTGAACAGTTCAGTGTCATATCATTGCAAATGTTGTTTTAAAAAATTCTGGTCAAAAGATGATTTATTTTCCAATCATATAGCATTTTCTTTTGAAGTTTAGCTAATTAGGCCAATTCCAAGCAAGTATCTCAAAGTTTTCTATCACAATGCACTATTACAGAGGTTAGTGTTACTAAAGGGGATTACCTACTGGATTTATAAAACCTTTTGAAAGCTTTTATTTGCTTGGAAGTCTGACAAATATCCTAAAAAAAAAAAAAAATCAAAATATAGCCTATTTTAAGAACAAAGTAAAATGCAGATATCTGCTTTCCTCCCTTCTCTGAATATATACTATACATGACACAAGGAATAATACTAATTACCATTCTATAATCACTGTAAAAAAGGCCACTTGCCAAAAGCAACAGTGGGGTGACATAAAACATGCTTTTGGTAAAACTCCCCCCCCCCCCCCACCCCCCAAGTTGTACAGTATGTTTATCTCAAGTCTTTAAAACAAGAGGAGACACTAAGCTGCCTTTAGTCTGCATAAACGGTTGTAATATCACTGTTTCTTCCATATAGGAGAGAGGGATGCCTTAACATGTCAGAACTGAAAATAGGGGCTGAAATGAGTCAGATGACCAGGGATACCACCTTACCAAACTGAGTGTGCCTCCCCTTGAAAGGCAGCAAGCCAGAGAGGTTATTCACAAAACAAAAGATTGTCTCCTCTCTTTGTCCTCCCCCGCCTCCATTCAACTTCTATGGAGAGTTTATTTTTCTCTCCTTATTTTAATAAGTAACACAAGGATTCTCTTAAAGAATTAGTAAACAGAAGCTAATATGAAAAGGTTGATAATAGTCTTCCCTTGAAGAGATGGTTCTTAGAAGATGCTGGTTCCTCATCTTCATTATCACCCTTAATTACTGTTAAGATCTGCCTAGTACAGTACCAGAGAGAAGTTTCAGCCTTGTCTAGAACTGAGATTAATTTCAGTCACAAGGACAAAGTCTCTCACACATGTGATGCTTGTCCCCTGCCAAGATAGGCAGCCTTAAAAAAAAAACAAACCCTTCCCTTATGCCACTCAAGTTCTAAATCAATTTATGTTCCTTTTTACTTTTCCTCCCTCCCCCCACAACACAACACTTCATATTCCCATAATATAATTGTTTATAAAACAACCAATACTGAATCTTACCAAGATTGTCCTTTGTAAATTTGAGTTAACACTGCTGAACATGAGTTTGCCAACTATCGTGGCAATAGTAGGGAAAACTAGAGCTCCACACAGAATACGTGTAGCAGAGACATGATCTGCCAAAGGGTTGGCCTCTGCTGGAATACGAGGAACAGGACATCCAATGCCTAAAGGGATGAGAGTGGGGGAAGAAGAGGTTACATAGCCACTACCTCAAACAGAACACAGAAAGCACATTAGTGTCCACCCCCTGCTCCATTATAAATCTATAGCTCAGTTACTTTGAGAACTACCCCTCTTCTCAGTAAATATTCTGTTTCCATTAAATGACTGTATTCATTTTTACTTTCAAATAAGACCCATGATTTTTAGTAGCTTTAGTACCATGTTTTGTTACTAAGGCCTTAATTGAAACCATGCTCCTGCTCCTCTTGCCCCACCTTTCTCACTAGGGACTATACAAACACAGTGTAAATAGGCTGAACGTAAACCCGAGGGAAGGTGTTATCACCTTTACTTAAGAATGGCGAAAACTACTCGCCTATCCCCATCTCCCAAAGGCACCAATTCAAGCTTGATATTTCCTTTTCAATTTAATCACATTACCTGGAAATATGCTGTTCAAAATTTGTAGCTTATTAGAGTATTTGCGCCACAGTCTGAGCACATAGTCCTCCCAACGAATCATCTTGCCCAATATTAGCATGACTGGGATAGTGGGAAGTCCAATCAAAAGAAATAAAGGATCAGCTCTCTCCATGACATCAAGACCTTCTTTGTGACCCACAACCTAGTAAATATGTATATAGTTGACAAACATAACAAAGATCACAACTGAACGAAGAATATAACTTAAAAAAATTCTGGTTTGTTTGGGGCTACCCACCTATTTTAACTTATAGAAAGAAAAAAGAATACTACTCTTTTACTTAACATACTCAGTTTTCCCTTTGCATCCTTGGTTACTTATCAAGTGTAATGCAGACAAGCTACCAGCCCTAATTTGCGAGTCATTAATCTTGCAGAGAGCTGTAACACAATTCCTTACCACCTCAAGAAAAGTTTCATGTGCTTCTGTATGAGTAAAAGCTCAAACATCTGAAATATCAAAATAGCATGCTTTCCAAAATGCACAGAAGAATTTACAGTTTTAGAATTATTAATTCTACACTCAGAAATTGATTAGATACTAGTTTTCAAGGATAAATTGATAGCAAGTATCTCAGAATGTTTTAATCAAAAATTTCTGTTATTTAGCAATACCTTATGCAACAGAGATCACAGTATTAAAAAGTATTGCTTCTCTAGACAATGCAGGAAGAGGTACATTATTTTCAACTGTAGTGGAAATAGCAGCATATCTTCTCTTTATTTTTAAACGTGATTAGTGCTATGATTTCAAAGGACAGTCATTACCAATGTGTCTAAACCTTTCTACTGGCACAAAAAAAATAATCAGACTTTGCAGTTTATATAACATACGTACAGGAATCAACAACTAAAAGGGTGAAGGTACTTCTAGTTGTACAGTCTACAAAAACTCTTGTCTCGTAGTTGAATGAGGACAGCCATAAACAAGTCTTTCCATAGCTAATAATCTACCATCTGTCAACGTTATTTTTATATTTAAATAGCAAGTTCACAAGAACCAAAATAGGAAAAATAAGTATTTTTCCCGCTTTCAACTAACCATACATTCTGAAGTAATTAAGAGAACATACTATAAATTTGCAGTGGTTTGCATTTGTTGTTTATGAATGAGTCACACCATTCAGAGCATGCATTTTTCTTTATACAATAAAAAAGTGGCAGGACTGAAAAATTCACCCTGTCTCAACCCTTTGAATGTTACCAGCAAAGTTTTTCTACAGGTAAAAGATGATATTAGTCTCATGTCTCTTCTGAAGAATTAGACTACTCATTATTAGCGGTTAGGTGGTAATTGCACCTTTTCTGTAAGAACAGAAGTGGGTTCACCAGCCTGCCACAGAAAGGGCAGCCAGCTCCAGTAGTAGTGAATTTTGTTAGCTGCAGACTAAACTATGTTTGAACAGGGATACTTGGCTTTATACAGTATGATCAGTTAAAAGTGAGAAGCTTTCTATCTACCTGTCTTGAATTCACTTGTTAACTACACTGGAAGTGCTGAAAGCAGCTAAAGCATGTTTTAAGCTGAGGAAAGAGGAGTCTTAATTAATTGACTTCTTCAGAAAACTTGCTTTCAAAGCTGGTAAGAAGAGGGAATACATGTGTACCTGCATCACCGTCACAGCTCCATATGTAACAGCTGTCCAGTATATAGAGCCCACCATGATTCCAGCTGCAGCAAATGGACATGCCTTTGAGATCAGTCGATCTGCAAGATCCAAAACGTAAACAACTGGACCTATGACAGAGGAAAAGTAAGGTTTCAAGATATACATATATATATAAGCGTACTGAAGAAAGCTCTCAGCATCTACCACTAAGAAGAAAGAATGAACTTGGCAAAATACAAATCTGACATCCCACACATGGAGTTTAAACGAGAACTTATAATTAAAAAGCTACTAAGCTAAATTTGTAACTTATTTCTACCTATCATTTCATTCACTGCAACATCTTTCTGAGAGATTAATATACTGATTAGAGCACTGACTAACCTACCCACTGAAGTTGATTAGCTTCCTTTGTGTTGAATCAGAATTGTTCTGTTGTAGAAACCATTTTAGGCTTAGTGGCTTTTTTGTTGGATGTTTTAGCTCTCAAAACGAAGAAATACTGATTACTTGTAATGTACTTCATGTGCTCATCTGACAGCTTCACCCAAGAATTCTGTCACTAAACTATCCTGCTGTACAGTAAAAAGTAGCACAGTCAATATGAAAGATTTCTTCTGCTGAAAGAGGCTGCATTCAATATTTTTAGAGGACCACCTCTCAAATGTTGGAGGAAAACCCCCTCCTATTCAGGTTATTTAGCGCCTTTGACAACAATGCATGAATAGACTTTCATTGTTGTCTATGGACAACTGCACTTCCCAGACTTAAACAGGGCAGGACATTACCCTGACCAACTTTGGTGAGGTAAACAAGGGCATGCTTGCATCTTTTCTTTGAGAGACTGCAAGAGCACCAGCAAAGCAAAAGCCAGAAGCTGAAGTCTGAAACGTGTATATGGAAGTGAAAAATACCACCATGATCAGATTCCACATTACTTTTGTATTTGTCCTCCTCCAGCTCATATGCATGACTAGTTCTTCTTAGCTCCCTCCTACTTTTTCCTACCAAAATCAGTGAAAATATTATTCCATAATATTATATCATATATATCTTTGTCTGTTGTATATTATTACATTATTATACATTATAATATATGAAAAAGTTATTCTCAAAAGCAGCCTATAGGCATTCTTCAAGTAATTAATCTTCCATCTGTCTCATCATGGTTTACTCACTCCAGCCTATAATTCTTTTACTACTTCCTAATACTTTTTTTTTCTTTCTTTCTTTTTTTTTTGGGGGGTGGAGGGGTGGCATAGGGAAGGAGTGATCTCTTGAGCAATGGTGTGAAATGACTTACTGAAGTCCTGATACACTAGAGGTACAAGACTGCTACTAGATGAATTTCAATTGCCAGGCTAGTTAGGCAACTGCCAGGCTGTTTTGTACCCCTATCCTGAGTTTGTATGCCATTTTCCTCCTGACCTCCAATTAATCAAAACTTGTTCTGACCTTGCACAGAATTGAGAAGATTAGGTGCCAAGGATTTCTTCTTTTTTACCTTTCTAAAGGTAAAGGTATTGTATTTGGCATTCTCCAAATACACAAAAAAATCACTAGCAGTTCAATTCTTAGCTTGAATACTCCTAGTATATAACAATTTTATATTGTTAGGGGGTTTTTTAGGGTTTTTTTTTAGCACACTGTTCCCAAAGAGACTGTCTCTGAACTATCATATTTACACCAAATGAATTAAAAGGTGTGCATTTAAACATACAATCAAGATTTGAAATTCACTTCAAAAAAAGTTTGCAGAAAATGTATTTCTGTCAGCCACACTGACAAAATTGTGACTCCTGTTTCATGACTTAGTTGGTTCCTCTCTTTCAAGAAAGCAGGTCTAGTGTGAATGCTTTCAAAACAACCAGTCCTACTCAGCTCAAGTCAGCCAGTGAAAACAAGCAACAGGAACATCTTATTGAACTCGTTCATTGTCATGTTTTGTCAGCACTGGTATCCTTGTAAAGCACTCCCAAATACATCTGTTTTGTGGTGGGTTGTTTTATCCT